CACTACACAAATTCAATGGTTGAAAATTTTGCGTGAAGCCCCTAGGGATTTTTCGTGTCAACCGTCTGTTGCCGGCGTTTTGAATTCCAGTTTGTGATATACCTTCGACGCGTGTAGAATCAATTTTTAAGCCTTACTTTTATTAGTTTCTTGAATTTCATTCTCTTCTTTATAATCGGAGTCGTTTTTGTTTTTCGACCTAAAATTCGTTTAAAATTTTCATTACATTCCGTCCTTATGACAATTTTCGACTAGAAATCGCTCTATTTTCGTGTGTAATTTGACTTGCAAATCTGTTCAAGGCAGTCTAAATACCTCAAAATTTGTGTAGACCCCCCCAGTTGCAGTTCAAGTGCCTCTTAAGCGCGTATCATAAATCAATACCTTCGATAGTAGAAACAAAGTGAGTTCTTATCGCAAAATAACAGCGATACAAATGATTTGAATATCACGCACAACAAATGATTCAATCAAAGTGCTGGATCGAAGTTCAATTGACTATGTAATAATTAAAAAAGACGGAGAAAAAGTGTTATTAAAGCCAAGAATACTATTTTTGCAACAATATTACTAACAATCTTTATTTTTGGGTGTTGAATCAACAGAGTAGATAAATCAAGAGTTTCCGCACAATTCCGCGATGATTCGTCATAATTATCGTACAATTTTTGTTTTTTTTTTTTGTTCTGAACAGATGAACAAGTGTGATTTCAGAACGACTTGATTAATCTTTATGACTAAAAATTTATTGGTTTTCAAGTTGATTTAAGGCTGATGCTCTTACTGTCAATTGCCGTGAGCAACAATTATGAAATGTCGTAATACCACAAAACAATTAAAAGAACATCGTCATTCTTCCGAACTTTGAATTCAGTTGAATGCCGACATGATAAGTCGAATCTTGAACTTTATCCCAACATATTTCCGTCAACATTTTCTACGACAAACAAAAAACGTTTTTTGATTAGATTTTTATTTTTAGATGTATAATTATTTCGTTGGTTATCTGCTTGAAAAAAAAACCTTCAGTGTAATTATCAAAACATTAGTTTTCAACGCGTTTAAAATTAGAACCAACTAGTATATACTAGAATGCGTTCACTTCGTATTCTTTTGGAACAAAAATTAGTTGAAGTTTCTATAATAAGGAAGAAAATTGGTAACTGATATCAAAACAATTGGTTTGCCCCTCAAAAAAAAAAAATTACGCATATCGACAATTTAGTTTTTGTTCAATTCGAAAATCTAACTATAGATTAAAATCCATTTAATTCGAAGATCTAACTGTAATTAGAATTGGATATGAAATCTTCTTCATAAACAGTTTGCGGCTGAATATCAATGTTTTTAAATTGCTCTGGTCAATTGAAGTGCTTAATTTGCTTTTGATAAATCAAATGATTGATGTGTTTATTTGGTGATTTTTACGATTGCGTGTTCTCCGTTGATAATTATGCAATTACTTTCAGAATGTTTTGCTGCTATGGGTTGTATTTGGGTGCATTTATGGCATGTGCCATTGCATGCTATGTGTCAAACACCGTTCGTTACTATCTAAAAATGGCCACATTTTTATTTGGATCCATGTTGATTGGTACATTTCTGCCCATTCCCTGGCTTATCATGCGGCCACGAGATTATCGAAATGCTTTGTAAGTTCAGTAGAAACAACAAACCCAAAATCAAATCAAACAAACCATTTATCTTGATGGAGAAAATGAGCTGAGTGCACATTTTTCCGGTAAAATGATTTTGGCCAATTAATCGCATCGCGTTCTTATCGAATAGATTACCGGCTTGGGGCTGTCGATTGTTATTACGAGCACTTGGTGTACGGTACGAAGTACGAGGTTTGGAGAATATTCAGCAAAAACACGGTGCAGTTATTGTGATAAATCACCAAAGCGCAATCGATTTAACTGGTAAGCGATTTTTTTTGTAAACACTTGTGCTGTTTTCGCCGAAAATCCCTCGGTAAAATTGATTTTCTTTGTACTGCTTGGTTGTTGTTGTTTGCAATATTCATCTCATTCTTATCGTGTGTAGACAACATAAATCATGGAATTTGTTTCTCAATTTCGGCAACATTTTTTCACTAATATTTCAGCGTTCATTTCCAGTTTTTTCCATCGTTTTTTTTTGTCCTCTTTCCCTTTTCAGTGCTTGCATATTTGTGGCCCGTCATCGGTCGTGCAACTGTTGTAGCGAAAAAGGAGTTGCTCTATGCATTCCCGTTCGGTTTAGCTGCATATTTATGGGGCACTTTATATATTGATCGTGCCAACAAAACGGATGCAAAACACAAATTGAATAAGGAAATCCAAGCGATACGTGAAAGTGCCAAATTGCTAGTCTTTCCAGAAGGTACGCGTCATCAAAGCGACACATTGCTGCCATTTAAAAAAGGCGCTTTTTATACGGCGGTACAAAGTGGAAGCGCCATTCAACCGGTTGTTGTATCGAGATATTGGTTTCTCGACAGCCAACACAAAGTATTTGGCAGAGGTATGAAATGAAAAGCACCGATTATTTTTTTTTTCCTTTTGCATTTTGAAATCTGCTGACGAATATTTCATTTTATTTATGCTGAGATGTAAATGGGAGTTGAGAATTGGTTTGAGGATTTTTTTTTTGGAAAGGAAACCAACAACCAACTCGCGGTTTGTTCTTGAACCAACCGAATTTTATTGTTGAATGAGTAAATTTGTGTAGAAAAGGTAAACAAATCCGTTTGGCTAATTGGGAAAAGTGAAAAGTTAGTAATTTTAACGATTTTAATTACTCTTTTGATTGCTGTGGCAATAATTCATTTGCAACCAGCACAAAAAAGTCAAAAGCCACAATTTTCAATTTACTCCGGGTTAATTTGGATTTGTTCTCTTTTTCTGCACTCAAAAAAGACGTGATGTGGTTCATTGACACAACGTCATTTTTCATTCTCGTTCGCATCTCAGTGATAGATTTATGGTGGTTGCATTTCTATAGCGTGTGCATTTTCATCATCACAGGGCACAGCATCATTCAAATTTTGCCGGAGATTTCGTGTAAGGGTTTGGGAACAGACGACATACCAGCACTCGTAGAAAACACCCGCCAGCTGATGCAAGAAACGTATGAAAAATTGAATGCCGAAACGTGTGCGATGCACAATAAATGCGAATGAAGGAGCAAAAATGAAGGGAATAAAGTAAAAAAGAAAAAAAAATCGGAATAACGGTGAAAAATTTAAAAAAAAATTCTAAATAAATGTAAAAAGGTACAAAACCATCGTTTGAATGTGAATTTGGTTACAAATTTCCTTTTATCAGCATTGGAATCGACATTTATTATTATTGAAACTGAAAAGTAAATTAAAATGCCCTTTAACTTAGAAGAATTTGTAACCGTTGCCCTTAATCTGGCTTGTACATTGGCTGTGTCGACCATAAAATTCGTTTCAAATCAAAATAAAACTGCTTTGAAAGAATTTTCTGTAAGAAGAAACAAATTTTTTTTTATTCTGCTCTGTCTGCATTTGGGGAATGCGACCACCAAGACCGAATCGAACCTGTGTGTACATTCCATTTATTTTTATTATGAACAATCGTTCCCTGTCCAGTATTTTCATTTCGATTCGGTTTGGCTCTGGTATTGCAATACGACTACGTTTTTTCCTCTCGGTGTGTGGAGAACGTCAATCGCATTCCATTTACATTTCATTGCCCTCGAAAATGCCCCAGCCCATAATCATCTGTATGTGTTCATGTATGAAGCATCTCTACGCCGAGAGAGAGAGAGAGAGAGAGAGAGAGATGCGTGTTCAAACTTCAAGACGAAAATCCACAAAAGCAATAACTTTCGAAAGGGGAGTGGAAATCCATCGTATTGAGCTGCTATTGACATTTTGTCGGTGGTGGTTCAAACGATGCACATTTTCACAGCTTTGTATTCGACTCTTGACACCGGTAATCGCTGGCTGCATGTTGCAAAAGGGAACCAAATCAGTATGTATATTCTCTTTGGTTCTCTTGGGGGCTGAAACACTAACAAAGGAAACGTCCGATCTCAGATCGATATTCGGAGTAGTGTTTGCACTTTGTGTGTGTGTACCGTTTTTTGGGTTTGTATGGAGTGCAGCAGCAGCAGCAGCAGCAGCATCAGTATCACCATCATCATCGTCATGAGTCAACGAATGAGAAAAACAAATTCTGGTAACGCGCTACTCTATTGACTTTGTATTGTTCGCTTGTTCGTTTGTTCGTTTGCAATGCAGTCTCTCAATTTGTTGGTTCACGTGACCGAGCGTCAAGTTTCCGTATTTGTGTTGGCGTTTGCATTAAATATTCTCCATTCGGTGGCAATTGTATTGATTTTGGAATGGTAGTAGCGGCAGTGGCGGTGATGGTCATGGTGGTGATGGGACACAAATTTTAATCGCTAATCGCCGAACAAAACTGGTCAACACACGCACACGTACAAAAATCAACTAACTAGCGTTTGCATTTTGCCACGATTACAAATTACCGCACGCCATCCAACGTCAAAAGTTGATCAAGTGAGTGTCAGTGAAGCAGACAGAAAAAACGCGCCAACGAATGCATTTCTCGTGCAAGGCTACATTATTATTCGGGTTTCTCATCGTTGCCATTTGCCACACGAGAGCTGCATACAAATGATGCAAACGTGTGCACGCTCTGAATCATGGAGTCGTATTTCCAAGCGAGCACCAACCGAATAAAAATAAAACAACAGCAAGGGATGATGAATGTGTCTTCGATGCGAAATCAAGTCGCTTGCACCACGTATCACCTGATTGGATATTTATGGTCTGATGATTTTACCCTTGAAAACGGAGAGCAGCTCACATAATTTAATGTGAATGTTCCTTTTGCGAAAACATGTCCAGTGTTTGGGCTTCTGTTTGCACTCGCTCTCTCTTTTTCTCTCGTATTTTTTTTCTAATTAGACGATATTATTCCGCCGGAGGTGAACAAGCAAAGACAACACCGTAAATTCCCTTGTGTTCTACCAGCATAGTGTACCACGCATCGATGGTGAGTATAGGAAAATTATACGGTCCATCAATGTAATTATTAATTTGATGTCGGTGACATAGAACACTTGTTCATTGTTAGTGGCATTGAGCACAGCCAAATTCCGGATGAAATATGCTTCGGTGCAGTAGCACGCGTATGAAATTCTATCACGTAAATTACCGTTTCCATGCACACCATACTTTCGGTTTGCCTAATCATTACTTTCACAATTTGTGCTGCATGGCGCCATAAACCCAATATATAGCCTGTTTCGTACCTCATATTTCATCCCACTTCATATTTTCATCAGAAAAAATCGAGCGAAAAAAAATCGATTTCACCGGCAAAGGAAAGAAACAAACATTCATTGATCCCTATTCAAACCCAATGAAAAGGAAATTGAAAGTCTTAAATCTCAAGTTGAGATTCTCAATGCGGCCGTTTAAGAGTAGAAACTGAGAAAAATACGCATTTCAATCAAAATATTTACCAACCTCAATTACTCCAGGGCATCTGACATGAAATTACACAAATTGGTTGCTTTGTTCTTTTTCAATCGGTTTGCCGTGCATCGTATTTTTTTCCCATCTCTCACTCGTCAATTTTGTGAGGGTGAATCGTTGGTTTAACATGAGGTCGACAATAACTGAAAGAAGCAACATAAAAAAATACACAGATAAGATTTCCCGTTTGATGTACAAGTGTTGAGTTTAAGCGGCGAGGAGAAGGAAAAAACAAGCGATTGCTTCGAATTTGATCCCTTATCTCTGTTCCATTGCGGATCATCAGCAACAATATCAACAAATTATGTGCAAAATGGTATACTAACCATTAATAACCGACATCGAGCAAAAGAAGAAAAAAAGGCGAACCAAAAACCACTCGAGATACTCATCGCTGTGTACGGATTTCACGTATGAAACCGAACAACATTTCCGCCAACTCACCGTCAATCCATTCCCATTTTAAAGCCATATCGAAATCGGTTTTCTTATCAACCGCATGAAATGCAGGCGGTGAACTGAAGAGCACAGACAAGAAAAAATCATACAAAACGATGAATCGAACCATAATCTAGCGTGTGCTTTGCTTGCACAAACACATTTCACTTACTTTTATCAAACAAAAATATTACTTTGAACAAATCCTGCCGCATTTTTTTCTTGCTTTAAATCGCTTCGAGCTCACAAGAATCGCTCATACGGAAAATCGGTGTACTTTGCCAAAACAGACGAATAAATTGTTTTCATTTTGATTTTGGTAAAACTATTTTGACGCAACGAAGAAAAAAAAATGAACAATATAAAAATAAAATCATATACCCAAATGCAAACAAACAAATTCCCACACACAAACATTTGGAAAAGCAAACAAAAATCGCATGAAGTAAAGAGCAAAAGACCGGAGTTTCAAATAAAAAAAAACGTACCGTACACCGGGCACATGGTAGAAAAAAAAGGGTTTTTTTTATGGTGAAGTGTTGATGTTGATAAAAAGTACAAAAGACAAATGAGTGTTTCAACACACAATATAATCCAGTCATCGCATAATTGCGGTGTACAGTATCACTTGGTTGTTGTTTGACGATATAAAATATGAGCTGGAGAGGAACCTCTTCTATGCCATTCAAATCGGGTGCTAGTTTAGAGTTTCACTGTGGCTGTGGACGGTCGCTTACCTTCCGGTGAGTGTGTGTGTGTTGTAAAATGAACCAGAGATGCAAAACCAGTGATAGAGTCGCAGTTTTTCCACTCAAAATGACAATGTTGAGTCCCTTGACATGTTTGTTGCTTATCAAGTGAACGCAATCAGCTTCTTCTTCTCTCTCTCTCTCTCTCTCTCTCTCTCTCTCTCTCTCTCTCTTGCATTCACTCTCTTTTTCATTTTCTCTCTTTTTCTCTTGTAAAACCTGACATGAAAAATGAGATTGCGTTCCCTCGTTTTATCTGCGTTCACTAAATCGAATTGAACCGTCTCGTTATGAATCACAAAGTTTCCACCGGAATGTTTTTTTTGCACAAAAAAACCAACTTTGTCATCTTGTTTTCTGCACAGAAGAAGAGAAAAAAATCTGCACTTTCACAGAGGACGAGAGAGAGAGAGAGAGAGAGATTGTGAACGAGAGAGCGCCACTTTGAAAATTATGGAGATGGACCCAAGAGAAACTAATTTATTACATCACAGCTTGATTGCAATCAATCAGATAAGTTTGTTCACTTTTGCGCAATTGGCGTGAATCCCATTAAATAGATTGCAGCGCCAAATACACGCACACACAAATATATTTTATCCACGGAAGGGATAACTCCTCAATAAATACGTGATTAATATGGTGGCTGCTGATTGTTTTCAAATTAAATTAACACGCCAACTACACCCGCATATTTGCTAAATGTAAATAAAGCGGTGGACATTGCATTTCCAAATGCATCGACGTGGCATCCATTGGCTGCTGTATACAGCCATGCTCATGTGTCGTTCGCTCCAGATGGTTTCGACCGAAAAACTTTTGTCGTGTGATAATTGTTTAGGCAGCTGACACTGTTCGGTACTCGACTGCCTGTGTGCCGAGAGATAGCGACAGAGGGTAGAAAAACTGAGCTACAATTTCATTCGACTTTTCTACTTGCTTGCTTCTTCATTCAGCTTGTAATTTTCAAGCCGTTGAAATTGTTTCGCTAATATTTCACCGAGAAACCAACTGTTCCGCTTTTCTTCGGAAACAATTTGCATGGACTTAAGCCATAAAATTGTTGATACGCCCATAGCGCAGCTCTCTTCTCTTGTTTTCTTTCGATATTTCCCATGATGGAATTTCGCGGACGCAAAAGTGTGAACAAATATGTTGACAATATGTATTCACAAAAGGGTGAGAGGGTTAAAACCGCAAAATTAAGTAGAATTACTCCGAACATCGTTCGACGGGACAGTTATGCGAATCATATTTTTTGTTGTGGCCCCTTCCAGGGATAGCAAATTATCAAAAAGTTGTTCCGTCGTCAAAATGCCGTCGAAAACTTTTAACATTCATCGAAATGAGAACATAAACACAGGATGAGATTTGTACACGTTTAAAATACCGCCACCCAATTGGGTTGTTTCCTGTGTTCAAGGCATCGAAAGGTTTACGGCCAGACGCTATCGCTGAAATTGCAAGAACAAGACCGTAAACAGACACATGCTTCAATTCATGTGGCATTCATAAATTCGAGGCTTATTTTACTCACGACAGCAAATGGAGTGTACTTTGGTTGGCGCGCAACTTCATCATTGTTTTTCGAGCCTGTCGAATGTTTTTGTTTTTCTGTTGTTCGGTGCTGTATCGATAACTGGAGTCTCTTCGAAGCCGGCTCTGATGGTGTCGTCAATCATGTGTTACCGCACGAGAGAGAAAAAAAAACCGACAGCACAACATTTTGAAATTTGCCGAACGAAATCGAAACGGAAGCAGGCGCATGTCATGCACTC